TATAATTACATTGATAATAACTAACATCACTGTTTGGACACACCATATACATTTCCTTTCCTTCCTCCATCGTTGAATCCCACCTCCCCCGAAATTCGGAATCATGGAGTACATCATACATCACAGAGGCAGCTAAGTCAGGGAATACTTTATGGGCCTAAAGTCAAAATAAAACAATGAAAGATTTAGTCAAACTACTACTGTAGGCCTAGTACAACTCTTGTCTCAATGTACAGATGTGTATAAGAGACAGGCACAGATCAAACACTATCATACACGTTATTGACATTCTGTAGTCAGAGGTGGTTCAAAGGTACAGTAGAAGATGTTACCACTTCCGCAAGATTTGTTGAGAGCATGAGGCGATTTTCGGACTCCGGACTCATATACTCAGGTGTTATATTGTACCATTTGACTTAGGGAAACTCTATAATTTTCAATATTTTTTTTAGTACAAAACACATGCTATAATTAGCGGAGGTAGGGAAGGGTTTTGAAAGTGTTGGCATGTATTATGAAAAAAACACTCAAAATGACACAAATCATAATATTTTTGGCACTCACAAAAACAGATTATACTGTACTTCTATCAAAATAAAACATTATGGATGAACAATTAGTCAAATTTCAGCTACAGTAATGAAGCAAAAACATTGACGCATTGTATTTGGTCAAGTTAATGAAATCCTCGCACCATATTAACTGTACTGAAAATCACACTCAGACTTTCAATTTTAATAACAAATTATTCAACAAATATTTTAGCCATCTTCATTAAATAAATTCAAAAATTTATGAACAAATAATACATCAATTATTCACAGTCACAACAACTGTACCCTTACTTCTTAAGTTTTAAATGTCATTGGTATTATTTTGAGCAATTCTGCCTAAGAAGACTATGAGGTTTAAATCAAGAATTAAAATTTAGTCTGCATCCATCCAAACCTTTGTCTTTAACAGCTTAAACGGTACCATTAAGTTACTAATAATTTAGCGATTGAGCCTAAACAAAAAAACAAAAACAAAAAATTCTGAAAGGGCAAAGTCAATCATTTTGACAAATTTTATTTAAAATTACAAATACACCACACCACACTCTTTAAATTATTATTAAGCAATTTTTAAGTTCAAGTGTTTTTTTCTTTCTTTTTTTAATTACTTAGCTTACTCACAGCACAGCAAATTTATCCATCTTCAAGAGTAATTGTTTGTTGTGTTGAAACAATTAATAATTGATTTTTGACAATAATCTGAGTATGCTTACTTTTATAAACCTGCTTTTAGTGTTTCTAAGGGGTATTCTGCAGTACTTTTTTGGCACAGATTTAAGGATAATGAGAGGGTAGTTTTTAATAACTACAGTAGAACAAGCCTACAGTTAGCAATTGTAATATCAGCCAAAAAACAATATTAAGCAATATCTTTTATTTGTTTTAGTTAATTTGTAATAATAAAAACTCACACTAATAAACAAAGATTATCTGAGCATCAAACTTGAAATCAATTGATTTTCATTCATGAAAAGAAAGTACTCTATGTGATGCTGGTACAGGTGCAAGTGTTGTTTTTTCCTGTTTATTATTCATAAAAATCTCTGTCCACCAAAAAAAAACAGCTGTATGACCAAATATAGTGATGATGTGCCTGTATATGTTCATGATGTGATGTCATCATCACCATATTAAGGCATGTCACATTTTACTGTCAAATAAAGTTTTGAGTCTGAACAAATTATTTTTAAAAAAAAACTGTTGTATGCTCAAATATAGTCATGACGTGCCTGTATATGGTCATAATGTGATGTCATCATGACTATATTTAGGCACGTCAGGTGGTCTGGAAAGGGCTTCACATGTGCCTCGTATGTTTACTGCATTCCTTCCATGATTCGTTTCACTATGGCAGGTGCGACTATGCTGTGTAATCAATTCATTAGAAAATTTGCCTTCATTTCGAAAACACTTAAGTATGTTGAGAAACTCTCAATTTTTCCATTAATTTCGAAACAGCAATAATGTTAAGTTACCACAGCAACAAAAGAACTGCATCACAACCAACAGGAATAAAAAAGAACTTAATAATTAGGACCTACTGTATGTTTTTATACTGTATCCAACTTGATCTTTTATTTCATGATCCTATACAGTACAGTTTAGTTGACAAAAATTTAAAAAAAAATTTAAAAAAAACAAGCAAAACTGTTTGGACTGAAATTATGATGAACAAATTTCACTTTATTGATGCAATTATTAGAAAAACAAATTAAATTTAAAATAACTGAAAAAGGATGATTACTGTCAAAAAAACGAGGAAAAAGGGGTGGTTAATGCCTCTTTTCTCCCAGTTTTAAAATATTTAAAAATCTGTATCTCATTAACCAATCCCGAGTCTTTTTGTCAAACACTCATTTTGTTTCTCGGAAAAATCAGTAGTACAGTTTAACTTGCTTTATGTCGAATCCAAAATGGCATTGAAAAATTGTTCAACTTCGATAAAATTTGACTTACAGATTGTTAATTAATGGAAACACAGCAATTGGGCATGTAAAGTAAGATTGACTTAGAAATTATTTGAGTATATACTGTAGGCAAAGTCGACTTAGGCTAGTCCTGTACAACATCAAAAAAATGATTTCCTCAGAGCCTGGCTTTAATTTTCTGGCTTTCATAGTACCACTGCCTAACATGTTGTAGACATTCAAAAAATAATAATTTAACTTACATTGATAATAACTAACATCACTGTTTGGACACACCATATACATTTCCTTTCCTTCCTCCATCGTTGAATCCCACCTCCCCCGAAATTCGGAATCATGGAGTACATCATACATCACAGAGGCAGCTAAGTCAGGGAATACTTTATGGGCCTAAAGTCAAAATAAAACAATGAAAGATTTAGTCAAACTACTACTGTAGGCCTAGTACAACTCTTGTCTCAATGTACTGTATTGTTATAGCATTTTATAATCATAAATTTACATCTTGTACCCTGCCAAACACCTATCTTTATTCATACAGCAGCCAGATTGTATAGTAAGGCCTCCGCGCAAAAATTTGGCCTAGAAATCTGTCGGCGCATTTCAGAAAATAAGGGCAAATTTCCGCACAGATACGCCGAAAATTAGGCTTTTTACCAAATGTTAATATATAACCAATGCAATTATCAACAATAACGATTCCGCGCACCTATTTTCCAAGTAATTTTCTATGCAAATTTGAGCAGATTTTTTTAGGTATCCTCCGTGCGATTAAAAAACTTTACAGTTTGGTACAGAAGTACAACAAAATTAAAGTCTATTTTGTATATTTTTAATAAGCAAAAAAGTGTGAACATTCAAATGAATAATAACTTAAAGTTTGTTAATATTTACCATGGGGAAGAAATCTTGATTTAACACAGATTTTAAATTTAAATTGCCTCTAATCGGGGCAAGTTACAGACGATTGGATCGATTTCAAAGACAATAGGGCCCGATTCCAAAGTGAGCCCGGCATTCTGGAAATGGGCCTGCTCGTCCTGGGCTTGATCGTCTTGTACTGTAGGCCTAGGCCCAATTGTCAGACATAGGCAAAATCATTTCAGCCCATTTCTGTCGTTTGTTATATTTGTTGTGTTTGATATACCGAAATAAATAATATAAAGAAACATATGATATATGTAATTACGATTCTTAATAATAGTACCTGTATGTTAAATAAATTTTCTATAGTATTTCGGATGCAGTATGAATCAAAATGAATATGGGCCTGATATAGGCCTAGATTTTGTAGTTTGTAATAAATATTGTTGGTATGTAGGCCTAGGGGCCTACTGTAGGAAAGGCCTACTGTACAAATTTCATTCAGAGAAAAAAAAAAAAACTAGCTCCTTCCTGTTGTATGTTTATGATAGCGAATACCCATGATAGTCTCTAGGCCCCTATTATTAATATATCATCCCGTGGGCCTAATCATCTGTCACCTGGCCTAGGCCTATTAGTCTATCTAGGCCTAGACTAGACCTACGGCCTAGCCATAGCCTAGACTACCTACGGCATAGCAGGCCTTTCCTATGCCTTAGGGCTAGGGGGCATAGGGGACCTAGGTGGCGCTAACACAATTTCGCATCCAGCCCTGAAAACGGTTACCAAATTATTTATAACTTACAATTATTCAACACTAACAAAGTTACATGTTCTTTGATGATTTGAATTTCATTCCACAATTATGGTTTCTAATTAAGTTAATTAGCCAATTAGGATGGTAGAATGTTCACACTGTATATCGATAGTAACACCCGATTGATTGTAGAGTAGCCTAGTATGTATTTTTCTTGATGAAGATAAAATAAAAGCAAAAAGTAGAATAATAATATTTTGATTGAGTGACATTTATACTATTTCCACTAGGCACGCTTAAATCAGCGGATATCTATTATGGCAAACACGGTATAATTTTACCCTGATTCTGGCAACACCGCAGAGTTGTTGACATGTACTACAAACAAGCTGGGTATGAAAATGGTCTACCGCGAAGATGTTAACCATCTTAATTAATGGTTACTTAACTTAATTAGAAACCATAATATTAATATTGGAAAATAAGTGGATTATTTGAAAGCCAAATCATCAAGAAATGTATTATTAGTATTGAATAATTGTAAGTGTTAAATAATTAGTAATTAATTCTAAGGCCGGATGCGAAACCGTATTAGTGCCAACCTAGGCCTAGGCTAGTAGTACTCTAGCCTACCAAGGCCTACAGTAGCTAGATGCCTAGGCTAGGGGCGGGTAGGCCTAGCCTAGGCTAAGTAGAGTACGGAGTCCTGGCTTGCTGAAGATCTGACCGGTCGGAGTGATCTGGCCTTGGCTACGGCCTGTAGGTCTAGCCTAGGTTGAAGTTCGAAGGTTATGTAAAAGAAGTTTAGTATTTTAAAGGAACATGGAAATACATTATGAACTTACTTTGAACATCTTACAAGAGGTATCCGAATTTTTAGCCCAAACTTTCGTTCCATTTTTGTTGTATTTCTCTGTCCACCCATCAACACTGTCCGCCAAATTGCGAAACACTTGGAAGTCCTCGTCTTCGGGGTATTTAACTTCTCCTACCGCCATTGGAAATACTATACAAATACCATTCAGAGAGAGAAAAAAAACTAAGCCTATTTAACTCCCGGTGCTATGTTTATGATATATTTTAGTTTCTCTTTTAATAAACAGCAAATTCCCAATCACACCACAGACCAAAAAATGACACTTGTCACCTCAGTTTATTTTATGTTCCGCCCTCTCGCGAAAGCTCTCACACACGAAAGTACATTTGTAGAGAGGGCGGTAAATCAATATTTTGGTCAGAGCTAGCCGTAGATAGAGTCGGTCAGATTTTGGATCTTATCATTATTAGGGCCTATCCACCAATCGCAAATGGCACAGCAAGGGATACAGCAGATTATTGAATCCAGTGATGGTGACAGAGGTCCCATGTTAAAAAATAGATCATAAAAATATTCAAATTAGATATCCCAAATAACTAGCCAATAGAAAAATTTGAAAAAATGGTTCGTGTGGGAATCGAACACACGACCTCCATATTATCTAACAAAATTGAAATTACTACAAATATCATAGGAGTGAGTATTTACCCTACCGGATGTGTTAACGTACCGAATACTCAGTACTTCCCCATATACTAGCCAATAATCATCATTCATGATGATGACATAATTAATGTCGAAATATTGAATCCCGACACGATGGCGTGCATTTCGATACTTGAAGTATGTATCATACTATCTTATCAGAGGAAAATTTATTTTAAATTAGAAGAAATTGGTTGTATTAAAACTATAAAAACGGTTATGCAGTAACTTGAGTCATGAGAGAGTACAGTATTTCCTTGAAGGCCCTACTTATTTGACTAACGAGTTACTAAAAATTGATCAGTTATGAAATATTTGTGTAGGTCTACATAGTTCGGGTGCTCAAATTAAACATAGGCGCCTACATTGAAACTCAAATTGGCTTTATTAATAATATGTTTGCTTATGTATCTGTAATATCAACAAACACTCCCTGAAATCGTTTTAAAACAGCTTAAAATGCTCAAGCGTCGGAGCGGCGAGGTAGGGGTTGTTCCCCAGCCGCTTGGACTCCCCAGCCAACTGGTATAAGCACTCACGCATTTCAAATCTCTCAGGTTGGTAACTATGTAATATCACCTAAAAATAGATAAAATGACAGTTGAATGACCAACAAAGACAACTGAAGACAAAAGTTCGTTATTAGAAGTTATTTAGTATAACTTTATTCCGAAAATTAATCTCAAAATCGAGTTGCCGTCCCCGGGGTTGTCAGTGACGTCGTATGATTTGTGTGCTATTTTTACTAGTTGACCCCTAAGAATAAAAGAGTTGAGCCATGTAGTACCTTGAAAATCAACCCAGAAACCAGGTAGTTTGTTGATTGTTTATTGGTAGCGTCCCTTCGCTGCCAAAAATATTTTTTTAGCAGTTGCGTCCCCGGTGGCATCGTGACTTACATGGCCAGATGAATGAAAATACTCAATCGATGTGCCACCAAATCGTAACCATCAGCATTCACCATACCCTCACGATGTCACTGGGGACGCAACTGCCAAACAACTATTTTTGGCAGCGAAGGGACGCTACCAGTAAACAATCAACAAACTACCGGGTTTCTGGGTTGACTTGCACGGTACTACATGGCTCAAATATTTTTTACTTGGGGGTTAATTGGTAAAATCGCACACAAATCATACGACGTCACTGACAACGCCCGGGACGGCAACTCGATTTTGAGACTAATTTTCCGAATAAATTTATACTAAATAACTTCTAATGACAAACTATTGTCTTCAGTTGTCTTTGTTGGTCATTCAACTGTCATTTTATTTATTTCCTCGGTGATGTTACCATTGTCAATAATCTATAAAACACCCACATAATAACGTCACTTTAGATCGATCGATGGGGACGCCGTGGTGGCGCTAGTAGGGTCAACTTTCGTCGAAAGGTATCAAGATGATAAACAGTTTCATTGGAATAAATTGTTGCTTAAGTTAACCACATGGTTACCTATTATACTGACACTG